ATGTCTTGTTTTGTTTTATTTTGTTTTGTGTTTAAGTAGGCTCCATGCCCAGCGTGGAGCCCAACACCAAGGGCTTGAACTCATGACCCTAATCAAGATCTGAGCTGAGACCAAGAGTCAGATGCTTAACCAACTAAGCCACCCAGGCACCCCTAGAAGGTCTTTTTTGTTTTGTTCTTTTTGAACAGAGAAACTTTTATATTTTTTTGGGGGGTGGTGGTGATAGGAGATACAGGAGATGTTGCCAACCCTGGAACTGGTGATGGGGTAGGCCTGCTTCTCTCCTCCTCGATGTGCAACAACATCTCCTTATAAAGAATCATAATCATTTTCATGGAAGTTTAAGTTCTGCTGGCCAGTACAATCTTAGTAAATGGAGAATACAATTTAAAAAAGTGAATAAATTTGGATTTTTCTTCAAGAAACTGTAAACAGGAGCTAGTCCTTGGGAGATGCATGGCTGGCCCAGTCAGCAGAGCATGTGACTCTTGATCTCGGGGTTGTAAGCTTGAGCCCCACTTTGGGTGTAGAGATTACTTAAGAAAAGAAAAAAAAAAATCCAGCCCTTGAGAGCAGCAAAAGGATCAAGCTGGCTTTCAGCTCTATGCAACTGTAAACTCTGAAAAGGGAGAAAGATTTGAAAGCTATCTGAAATTTTTTTTTAAATATTTATTTATTCATGAGAGACACACAGAGAGAGGCAGAGACAGGCAGAGGGAGCCCAATGTAGGCCTTGATCCTGGGACTCTGGAATCATGCCCTGCGCCAAAGGCAGATGCTGAACCGCTGAGCCACCCAGGCATCCTGAAAGCTATCTGACTTCTAACTGCATTCCCCACATTGAACTTTGAAGACTGTAGCTGTCTGCCTTCTAGAATACAGCCAATGTAAGGGGAGGATGGTGCCCACGGGGCCAGGGCTGCATGGTGCTATGGCGTTAGGGCTCTGCCCCAGGACACTGAGGCCGTTCCACCTGGGCTCATAACCTGCATGGGCCACTTATGGGATGTGTGGCCTTGGGCAAGTTACTTAACCCTTCTGTGCTTCATGAATTCAACAGCTACATATTAAGTAGCTATTCTGTGCCAGGTACTATACTGAGTGCTGGGGATAGAACAGTGAACAAAATACATACAAGTTCCTGTTCTCTTTGTGGTGGGATATGCATGTCAGGGGTGGGCGGTGGTAAAAATGTTTCAGGAGCTGGCGCCTTGCCTTGAGAGTTGTTTGTAAAAAACCATTGAGCTGTACACTTCTGTACACTTTCCTATGTGTCTATTTTACATCAGTTTTTAGAAATTCCTGGGCTTGAGATCATAGCTATGGTAAATCATTATGTAAAGCCTGCAGAGTGTGCATGTCACATAGTAAGCACTCAGAAATTAGTGGCTGCTAATATCGCATTGAAACTCATTACTAGAGCAAACCAGGCCATAAGGGGGTGTTCAAGAGGGATTCAGCGGGCTTTGCTGCAGGGCCTAGTACACAGAGCCCTCTTCTAAACCAGTCAGGTGTGGACCATGCATCTATCATGAAAAACATGCTTTCAGATAAAATAAGAAGAGGCATTGTGGGGGCTCCTGGGTGGCTCAGTCATTTAAGATCTGCCTTCCGCTCAGGTCATGATCCCAGGGTTCTGGGATTGAGCCCTGCATTGGGCTTCCTGCTCAGTAGGGAGTCTGCTTCTCCTGCTGCCATTCCCTCAGCTCATGCTCTCGCTCTCAAATAAACAAATAAAATCTTAAAAAAAAAAAAAGAGGTATTTTACTCTCATTTGTGAATTGAAGTGCTGTAGGCTTCTGTGAACATGTGGATGGTTGTATGCAGCACAAATGTTCCATATCTAAGGGACTGTCATTCATATTGCAAATCACACAGCTTTGTAAATTTATTATTTCCTGGTGGCCGAGTGTCTTACTGTAACAAAACTTATGTTAAAACAACTTTATGACAGATGGAAGTCAAAGGTGTGAAGAGCACCATCTTCCAACTTATAAAAAGTTGCTGTGTGGGAATAGCATCGAGGAAGTGGGAAATAGAGGAAACTGCTTTCTAGAAATTGCCCTTTAAAATGAACACAGAGGAGCACCTGGATGGCTCAGGTGTTTAGGCTTTCTATTCAGGTCATGATCTCAGGGCTATGGGATCAAACCCTGTGGTGGGCTCCATGCTGGGTATGGAGTCTGCTTAAGATTCTCCCTCTCTAAAACTAAAATAATAAAAAACAAATAAAACAAATAGAGTCTCTATGCAACTACCCCTGAGATTTGAGCCCCCACCCCTGAAACTTCACTTCTAAGGTCTGTGGTTCTTTCCATCACTGAACTGAAAAACAAAAACAAAAACAAAAACAAAACACAACAGCTTTCTGGTTAGTCCATCAGCCTTTGGGGTTCTGGATGATTGAGCTGTCTGGCAGACAGATCCTCTCTGGAGTTCTGACTAGTTGTTTCTGAGGACAAGACCCTGACGTTGACTTCACTGAGGTCCTGCCCCCTCTTCACACAACACCATTTTTCCTGCTGTAGTGGGTTCCAGTTGGCCTCATCTGAAGAACCATGGGATTTGTTAAACATGCAGACTCAAAGGTCCCTAAACCAGCAGATCTGAGATGAGCCCAGACATCTGTACGTTTAACAAACATTCCCTATGACACTCATATTCAGGTGAGTTTAAGAAACTCTGTTCTAACAGGATTTCTAATAAAGGGACTAAAATCTGGTTAACTGGAGCTCAGCCAGTCCCCTCACCTTATGGAGAGAAGGGGTGTGGGAAAGTGGGAAGTAATATTCAAGCTCAGAAAGGTCTAGATGTGTGGAGAGAGGTGGAGAGAGGAAAAGAAAAACCTGGGAAGCTGGATCTCGCCTCTGGCTCTTCTAGGCTGGGCCAGGGGAGAGGCTACCTGCTGGGGTAGGTGGGTAGAGAGCTAGTGTGTGCAACATGCCTGGCCCTTGTGGGGGGCAGGGGGAGAAAGAAGGTGCTATTCACACAGCAGCCACAGGTCAAAGAGCAAAGCAGTCACAGTGCTGTCTGCCCTCTGGTCTCAGATTGGGCCTGGATTGGGCCACTGGGCCCACGCCCCAGTAAGGGGACAGGTCTTTGTCCCATTCCACTGTAGGGACCAATGAAGCTCTGGGGACAGATGTAAGTCAGGCACTCAAGTGCTGAGGGTTAGTGACACAATACGGGAATCAGAGATTATCCGTGAAATCCTAGACAGTCCAGAGGGCTGCAAATGGTTCCCCAGTCCCCATACAGAGTCCAGGGAGGGACCAGAGTCTTGATTGGAATCTCACTGCCCACAGGCTCTTCAACAGGGGGCAGTACCAATCCTAGATGGGTGGGCACAGGGCAGCTAAATCAAAAAAGTATTCTCCAAGGAACTTTCAGAAGCTTCCAGACTCCTCTACCCTCTCTGGCCTTCGCTGTCCCATTTTTCAGGGTAGAAGATGGCCTAAGCCCAGGTTACAAAGGGGCCCCTCGCCCCCAGTTCAGACCCTGGAGCATTTCATTGGAGCAGGAGTCTGGGGTGCTCCAGAGTGCACCCCTTCCTGCTGACCAGGCCAGAAGCATGAACAGGTAGGTCTGTGTGGGTGTTCACAGGGGGCCTGACAGGGGCCCAGTGCTGGCAGGACCTTCCACCTTGGTCTCTTTCTAAGAAGCCATAGCTGCTTCCTCCTTTACTTTGAGAAGAGGTTTGCTGGTAGGGGTGGAGTTATGGCAAAGAAACCAAACCAGTTCAGGGATACCTGGGTGGCTCAGTAGTTGAGCATCTGCCTTTGGCTCAGGGTGTGATCCCTAAGTCCTGGGACCGAGTCTCGCACTCACTGGGCTCCTGCATGGAGCCTGCTTCTCCCTCTGCCTGTGTCTCTGCCTCTCTCTCTGTGTCTCTCATGAATTAAATAAAATCTTAAAAAAAAAAAAAAAAAAAAAAAGAAACCAAACCAGTTCAATGCAGGTCACACCACCAGTGCCAGGTGTTGGGGGAAGCAGCTGGCAGCTCTGGGGCACTGGAAATACCATGGGCCCAGAGTCAGAGTACCAGTCGTACACTTACTAACAGCAGGACTTTGGGCTGTACTTAATTTGAACCTGTTTTGTCTTCTGCAAAATGAGGCTAACGGCACCCATCCCAAGGGAGCTGTGAGGGTTCAAAGCTAAAGCACTGTGAGTGTCATCATTGACACACACATTGAAGCACAGTTGTCATCATCGCTGCTACTAAGCGCCCTGACCCCTGCCCTGAGGACAGAATGGGGAGGTGCCCGGGCCTCCCACAACCTCTCCCTAGAGGCCAGCCTACCTGTTCCTCCTCTGCTCTCAGAGAACATGGTGTAACCAGCTGTTGGGGGGCTGGGGTGTCCTCCCCTCCAGGCACAATTAGAAAGAGCAGAGCTGGGCAGCGGTTTAGCGCTGCCTTCAGCCCAGGGCATGATCTGGAGACCTGGGATTGAGTCCCACATCAGGGTCCCTGCATGGAGCCTGCTTCTCCCTCTGCCTATGTCTCTGCCTCTCTCTGTCTCTCTCATGAATAAATTAAATCTTAAAAAAAAAAAAAAAGAAAGAAAGAAAGCAGAGCTTGGTAAGTTGTGGTCATTGGGGAGCAAGGTTCAAGACCAACAAGTAGGTCGGATTGAGATGGAGAGGGGCGGGGTCTGATGGGGTCAGCAGTAAACAGTTTACACAAGACATGGGAAGGCCTTAGGGGAGAGAGGAAAGAATGGAGGGCAGCCAGGTGCCCAGGGCACAGGTGAGGCCCCTCCTGGCCTGGGGAGCTCAGGGAGTCCAAGGGCAGCTTAGGGCCAGGGCCAAAGCCCTGTGGTGGGCCTCACCCCAAAACCACCTGGGCCCTCCCTGTTCCCCAGAGCTGGTCGGCCAGCCTCAGTAATGGGAGGATGGGAACTGCCTCTCTGTCCCTGGCTCCCAAGGCTGGAAGGTGAGGGCAGGAAGAGCAAATGGGCTGCGGGCTCCTCTGAGGAGCTGGAGGGAACTCAAAAATCTGAACAAAAAAGGCCAAAACGTTTTTACTCTGTGAGCCCCAGTGGGGGGTGCGGGGGGCCAGGCAGAGTGCAAGGTGTCCACAGGAGCGGGTGAGCAGGGTTGGAGTGGCCCGCAGTCTTGCTTCCCTGCTGGGGAGGAGTGAGGGGAGGTGAAGGCCAGGGCGCCCTGCCCCGCCTGGGTCCACACTGGAGTCCTGGGCAGGCGTGCAATCACGCAGCCTGGCAGAGGGAGGCAGCAAGTTCTTCCCTGGGCCTGTGTCCTTCTTGGTAGCAGGCCGCCAGGGAGGGAGGACCTGGAGCAGGACAGTTGTCCTGCCTGCCAGGGCTGCAGCCTGGCTTCTTCTGGCCTCCAGCTCAGGGGTCTCGGTACGCAGGGCTCTGGGTTGGGCTCAAAGCTCATCCGGGGGGCTGTGTGTGAGAGGGGATGCCTTCTGGATGCCCTCATCCTCATCAGGGCTGGGGTCTTCCTCGAGGCCACCTAGCTCCTTCCTCTGTTTGCTGCCGCTGCCCGATGCCTTAACCCGGCTGCTCTTCTTTTTAGACTTCTTGCCTCCCAGGGCGGCTGTGTCCCCCTTCTTGCCAGACCACTGCTCTGCCAGGCAACCTGGGGTGAGGAGAAACACGGCTGGCTGGGTGAGGAGTACAGACTGGGGGCCCCAGAGGCAGCACGTGGACCTGGAGACCGGTGTCAAATCCCTGCGCCCTGCCCCGGGCCCCTCTGGGGGCGTCTCAGGTACCTGCATGTTATTCCGCACCTGGTTCCAGTACCCCTTACTCCACTCCCTCCCATCACAAGCTCCCCAGGGGTAGAGATGCTAGGAGGCCTTCTAGATCTCATTTCCTTTCTGTCCTCTCCCTACCCACCTCCCCTGAAGGGGAGCAGGTGGTAAAATGGAGGGTCCCCCCACCCCCGCCCTCTCCCTCCCTCAGACTCACTGGTGTCCTTGCCCTTCAGCACGTGATTGGCACAGAGGAACTGAGTCAAGTCTTCCTCTTGGTGGTTCCTGTACCAGTCCTCGATCACCTCCTCAAACTCTTCCACCAGCACGTCGCACTATGAATCACAACACGTCGCATTGGCAAAGCCCAGCTCTGACTTGCTCCCGGAGGGAGCTCAGCTGAGTCTCACAGCCCACTGCAGGACAGGCAGGTGGCTGTGATTCCCCTGAGGAAACTGAAGCCAGAGAGGTAAGACGACCTGACCAAAGCCCCCCATCCCCCCAGCTCTTGGTGGCCTCCCTCAGCCACAGACCCGGTCCCCGCCCAGCACGGTGAGGCAGGGTAACCTCTGAGGGCCGAGGGGCCCATACCTGCTTCTTGAGGTCAGCCACCTCCGCAGAGGTCTCATTCCATAGCTCGTAGGGGATATCCATCACCACCTTAACCCCTTTGTGGACCAGGTTGTGCAGGGTCTCAAAGGTCTCTGACATGCCCTGGAAGAGGCAACCAGGCATGAGAGGCAGAGAGCCTTCTCCATCTCCCACCCTCCTCTCCAGGTGGTGCTGAAGGCCCAAAGACCCACCTCTGAGAATCCAGGATCCTCCAAGTCTTCTCAAGCTTGACCTCACCTTCCTCTTCCCTCTTTCGGGCCTGCCTCCCACACCACACCCCCTACACACCTATATACACACCTACACCCACCCACCCACCCCGACACCCCCTACTTGCCTTCCCATACCTCAACCTTTCAAAAAGGGTTGCTGTTTCCCTCAGGCCCTTTGCATGCATACTCCTTTTCCAGGAATTAAGTGTGATTTGGCTCTTTCCCCTCGGTGTGGCTAGGAACACTCACTTTCCCATGTCTAGACCCACTCCCTGCTCCGGTTTCTTCCTAGGGCTTGTGTCTCTCCTGGGTCAGAAGGGACACAGGGGAGGCAGGGAGGACTCTTGGTTCTGTAAAAATATTTCTGCCACTACCTAGGTCTTCTCCCCGGAGACTACACCTACACACAGTCTATTTCCTCTATCTTTCCAGAGGTGATGCTGCAAATAAAAGCAAATATACATACAAATACATCCTCCTCTCCTCTCCCCCACTTCTTAACACAAGCAGTATATATCAGACACACTGTTCTGTCCCTTGCCTTTTTTACTGAATAACGGACCTGAAGACAATCTTAATTCATTTAAAAGAATTTTAAAAAATATTTTATTTATTTATTCATGAGAGACAGAGAGAAGCAGAGACACAGGCAGAGGGAGAAGCAGGCTCCATGGAGGGAGCCTGATGTGGGACTTAATCCCAGGACCCCGGGATCACGCCCTGAGCTGAAGGCAGATGCTCAACCACTGAGCCACCCAGGCATCCCAACAATCTTAATTCAATCCATAAAGAGCTACCTCATTCTTTGTTTTGTCCACTGAATGGCCATACAAATTTATTTAACCACTGGTGAATTTGGTTAGGTTGTTTCTAATTTTATTGCTATGGAAAATAGTTTTTAAAAATTTTTTTAACATTTTTATGTTAAAGCAAAACATGGGTTTATTACTGAGTAGACTACAAAATTCATATAAATTTTATTTTATCTATCTATTTATTTATTTATTTTTAACGATTTTATTTATTTATTCACGAGAGAGAGAGACAGAGGCTGAGACACAGGCAGAGGGAGAAGCAGGCTCTGTGCAGGGAGCCTGATGTGAGACTTGATCCCGGGACTCCAGGATCACATCCTGAGCCAAAGGCAGGTGCTAAACCACTGAGCCACCCAAGGATCCCCTTATCTTATTTTTTAAGTAGGCTCCACGCCTAGTGTGGAGCCCAATGCAGGGCTTGAGTTCACAATCCTGAGATCAAGACCTGACCTAAGATCAAGAGTCAGATGCCCAGGGCAACTGAGTGTCTGACTCTTGGTTTTGGCTTGGGTCTGATCTCAGGGTTGTGAGACTGAGCTCTGCATGGGTCCCACATCATGTTCCACACTTGGCACCGAGTCTGCTTGAGACTCTCTCTTTGCAGCCACTTAACCAGCTGAGCCACCCAGGCACCCCTAAATTTTCAAGATTAAGACTAAGACTTCTGCTGCTTAAGACTATTCCCTCTGGGTTTCCTAGGGATTTCTGACTAATCAACTTTCCTAGAAGGGTACTTGGGTGGAGAAATATGGAAGGAAGTCTCTTACCACGTGCCAGGCACTAAAGATGATGAAACAAAGCACTATGGGCCTTGAGGTAAGAAGCTCATTCTTCAGGGACAGAGGCATTCATGCACATGATAAGTGCATTAGATGTCACACAGCCACCCAGAGAGAGGTCCAGGTGGGTCCCTGTGGGCCCAGAGGCACTAGGTGACCACCCCAACCCCCACTGCCTGTGTCTTCTGACATCTCCTCTAAACCCCACAGCTATGTACCCCCTGAGCTATTCCTGAGCAAGTATTCAGGCCTCCATAGGCACTGCCACCCTGCAGCATTTCAGGCTGAGGCTGAGGGAAAGCCCCATGGCCCAGGTCAAGAATGTGCCTACTGCCACTGAAAAGTCGGGGCATTCGGGAGGGAGAAATGCAAACAGTAATTGATGATGAAGAATGGGGAGAGCCCAAGGAGGGAAGCTCCCCAAGCATGACCTTTAAAAATCCCACCCGCACCAGCAGACCACTTAGATACACGTAGGCCTCACTCCAGTGGGGACAAAGAATGAGCACAAATCCAACCTTGGCAAACCGGTTGCTGCCGGTCCTCTCCTTGTGCAGGCTATAGTCCAGGAGCCTCTTGCATATGGTCTCTGTGACTTCGATTAACCGTAAGTCCCTGCAGAGACAGCAGTGCGAGAGGGGCTGAGCTCCTCTCCGAGGCCCAGTGGGTTAGCGGTCCGTCCCTCCAGCCCTGCTACCCCAGCACTTGCACATCTCACCAAAGGGAAGTCAGAGCTGGAAGGAAGATAGGTCATCTAGTCTGAGGGCTCTAGGATGCTGGAACACAGACCAGAGAGACAAAATTTTAACAGCTCTATGGGAAGGCATTTTTTTTTTTTTATAAAGCTAAGTGATTCAGTATTTAGATTTTTTTTTCTTTTTTTAAAGATTTTATTTATTCATGAGAGACACACAGAGAGAGAGGGAGAGACAGAGCCAGAGGGAGCCCAATGTGGGACTGAACCCGGGACTCCAGGATCACACCCTGAGTCAAAGGCAGATGCTCAACCTCTGAGCCACCCAGGCGTCCTTAGATGTTTTTCTATAGCAAAATGTATTAGATTTCTTTTTCTTTCTTTTTTTTTTTTTTATGATAGTCACACACAGAGAGAGAGAGAGAGAGGCAGAGATATAGGCAGAGGGAGAAGCAGGCTCCATGCACCGGGAGCCTGACGTGGGACTTGATCCCGGGGCTCCAGGATCGCGCCCTGGGCCAAAGGCAGGCGCTAAACCGCTGCGCCACCCAGGGATCCCCAAATGTATTAGATTTCGATGTCAAAATATTTCATTTTGAAAGGATGATCAAGGCTGAGGAAGGGTTTTTTTGTTTTTGTTTTTTTGGCTTGTTTTTAATATTTATTCCTGGTAAAATTAAAAGCTGGTAATCCTATATTACCAATTAAAAAAAATTTTTTTGCATTGTCCCATGAAATCCAAAAGTCTGGGATGAGGTAAAGTCCAATACTCTTGCTTTTGACAGATGAGAAGTCTGAGGTTCAGCAGAATGAAGGGATTTATGAAGACCACACAATCAGTTGGGGCAAAACCAGTGGGCAAACCTAAGTGTTGGCTAGAGTTGCCTCCCTTTGGTGGGTTTGCCTAGCCGGAAGGGAGAGAGAACTTCAAGCCACCAAAGCTTCTAGGAACAAAGCAGGCCAGGCCAGTGGGTACCCCCTTCACTTACGACTTGGTGTATTTGACTCCAGAAGCCTTCCGATCCAGGATGCCATAGCCTGTGTCAATCACCTCCTTTGTCTTGCTGGTTTCCTCAAAAGCTGACTTCAGTTCCACGGCGACATATTTACACACTGGTGGGGGAGACACAGCACAGCCTACTGGGTGCATGTGAGTCTGATGGAAGCCTGGTCCCAGCTAAGCGCAGCAGGGTAGATGACTCTCCCACTCAGGGCAGGGCGGGCCGGGAGTTCCCCCACAGGCCACCACATGGACATTGCTGGGTGAAACCTAGCTCCAATATTCACTGCCCTATGTCCAGTCCTGGTCCCTACCCTGCTGACTCCAGTTCCCCCAGCTCTTTCCCGACCCCTGCCATCATAATCATTCCCCCCATAATCATTTTACTTTTAATTTTTTTAAAGATTTTATTTATTTATTCATGAGAGACACACACAGAGAGAGAGACAGAGAGGCAGAGACACAGGCAGAGGGAGAAGCAGGCTCCATGCAGGGAGCCCGACGTGGGACTCGATCCCGGGTCTCCAGGATCACGCGCTGGGCTGAAGGCGGTGCTAAACCGCTGAGCTGCCCGGGCTGCCCTCATTTTACTTCTAAATTTTCAAACATATAGAAATGCTGAATGAGTACAATGAATGACTATATATCTTCCACTCATTTCGACAGTTTGTTAATGACCTGCCACAATCTCTCCAATACATATTATAAACTACTATGATGGCACAGTAACGGATCTCAATGTGTACGTTGTCTTCGCTAAACCATTCTGAAAGTCATTCACAGACATCGTGATCTTTCCACCCCTCCAAAAGTCCTCATGGAGACAAGGACTTTCTTCTACTCAACCATAAAATCATACGGATACTCGGAAAATGACCAATTCCAATATCACCACATTCAGATTTCCCCAGCTGTTCCCAGATGTCTTGTCCGCTGGTTTTATTACGTGGTTTCTTTCTTTTTTTTTTTTTTTTTTAAGATTTTATTTATTTATTTATTCATAAGAGACACAGAGAGAGAGGCAGAGACACAGGCAGAGGGAGAAGCAGGCTCCATGCAGGGAGACCGATGTGGGCCTCGATCCCGGGTCTCCAGGATCACGCCCCAGGCTGAAGGGGGCACTAAACCGCTGAGCCACCCAGGCTGCCCGACGTGGTTTCATACACTGTTCCGACACCAGCTCTCTGTTTCCACCCAGGTAATTTGCTCCATGCCCTCACGAGGCCTTGTTGCTACCGGTTCTGTTTCCTCTTACTCTTCCTCAGTTATTAAGCAATTCTGATGAGCCAGGCACGGTCTGAGAATTCACAGCTGAAGACACACTCCTCCGTTCTACATATAGTCCAGTGGAGTAGACACAAGTGTAAATGAGTAATTGCCACTGCACAGGGAGTGCTGCCATTAAAAGTGTGATCTGTCTGAGGCCTTGGGAGCGCACTTAATGCCCTCTATGGGCTTTTCTGCCCCTTCTCCCAACCTCACTTTATTTATTTTTTTAAAGGTTTTATTTATTTATTCATGAGAGAGAGAGAGGCAAGCAGAGACACAGGCAGAGGGAGAAGCAAGCTCCATGCAGGGAGACCGACGCGGAACTTGATCTCGGGTCTCCAGGATCACGCCCTGGGCCGAAGGCGGCACTAAACCACTGAGCCACCCGGGCTGCCCCTAACCTCACTTTATTATTATTTTAGATTTATTTATTGAGAGAGAGCAAGAGAACAGGGGAGGGAGAATATCAGCAGATTCCCTGCTCAGTGCAGAGCCTGACTAGGGGCTTGATTTCATGACCCATGAGATTGTGACCTAAGCTGACACCAAGAGTGGGCCACTTAACTGACTGAGCCACCCAGGTCTACGACCTCACTTTAAAAGCCTCCTCCTCCTGGAAAAAGCTCTTCCAGACCCATCCCACTTGCTCTGATTGCATCTGGATCTCTACAGGATCCAGGCTCTCACTAAGGGCCTTCAGTCACTTTGTGTCCCCCTAACTATAAAGGTACCCAAAGTGAGTGTCATGAATTGGATTTTTTCTTTATTTCTCTAATATTATGACTCTGTCAGTGTTGGATATTTAATATTGTTGAGAGACTAATGGAGCAGCTTCTGATGCCTCTAAATGAATACGATCTGTAGGCTAAATGGCATCAGTATTGTTATAACACTGACAGCAGAGTTTGGTAGAGGAGTAATTCATCATAAAAAAAAGAAAATCCCTGAAGGCTTTGCTTGGTATAATTTTATAACATACACATTAATAGATGTGCTTGTAGAATTTGGAACACATGAAAATTCCAAAATATAAGCTGTGATCTCAGAGTCTGCAATGAATTGAGGTGGCTCACCTGCTTGGTTCTCTATCCAGGAATACTTGTCCCCCTCCCACCTCTGTTCTGCACCCTGAGTGAGCTCATCATTTTTCTGGCTCTTTTGCCCCCTTCACCCACACGCTTAAGGTTTAGGATTCCAGGTCCTGGGGAGCTGGAGCCTCCTTTCTCTCTTGTGCCCATCAACCACAACTCTGCTTCCCAACTCTTCCAAACCTTACCTCTTCAAGACCCCCTCTGAGGATCCCATCCAGAACCAGACTGTGAGAAGATTCATGGCACAGACCCCCGACTCTCATGGACACCCACCTACTCTTTTTCTGGGTAGGTTCTCTGTCCTCTGTGCCAAGGCCTATTCCACTCAGGCTACTGAGCCAAGAGGCAGGCTTTGTGGGCGAGACACAGTCAGCATTTAATAACAAAGGTGCAACAATGATAAATAAAAACAAATACACTATTAAGAGGAGCCTAAGACTTTGCCAAGCCAGCCTGTAACTGAAAATCCCTTTTGAATTAATCTTTATCAATTATCTACAAAATGAGGCTGGACTATGCTAGCTCTATGCTTCTGGATCTGTGACTGCCTCCTAAGGGAAAAAAATATGAGCTTCTTAGGCTATGAGAATAGCCCCTTCTTAGGGGCTAAGAAAACAAGGGGAGGAAGTGAAACCCTCAAACCACACCATATAGGTTAGGACTCCAGCAAGAGTGAAAGGGGAGCATCACAACTCCCCGCCTGCCTCTTCGTGGGAGTTAGGGACAAGGTACAGACTAGAACCGACACTGGGAGCCCTCCCAGTGAAATAGGCTCATCTCTGAAGCATCTCATCTTTCATCTCTCAAATGAAAGGATTATGTGTCTCAATCCACCCCACCCCCACTTCCCAGTGCTTAGGGAACATCTGGCCTGCTGTACACTTTGAATCGGGATGAAATGGACTTCTAGCCAACTTTCGGAGAGGTTTGGGGTTATGGAGGTGACAAATAAGGAGTGACTGGGAAGGTCTGGAGAGGGAAAAAAAAAGAAACTGGAGGGCAGGGAGAAATGGCAGACACTTCATAGTCCTGGATCACTGGCTTAGGCGCTGGCGCTCGCTCTCTCTCTCTGAAGTTCTACGCTTCCATCTCTCTATCTTTGGGATTCACTTTCTCCTTGTTCCTAAAATCCTCCTGTCTCACCAAATGCCCCCAGGTTAGATCTACTGGCGTCTCCTAGTGGCCCTCTCTTCTTCTCCCCTTAGGCCTCAGACCCTTCTCCTTCCTCCACATACACCCACAGCCCATTTATTCGTCTTTATTCCAAAAATACTCACTGGGTGCCCACCAGGCACTGCGTGAATAAATACCTGAGACAAAGTCCCTGCCCTCGAGAAGCTCACGGCTACTGGGGAAGTCTATCAATGATACAGATTAGCTTGTGGTGAGAGCAAAAACGGGAGAGTCTCAGGCTCTTCTTCCTCCTCTAAGAACAGTCATACGGACCTTTTCAGTTCCTCAAACTTGTCCTTTCTTAGCCCGTTGGGCCTCTGCATCTGTGGTTTCCCGAGAGACCCTCTCTTTTCACTTCTCTTCGCCCAGCTAACTCCTAATTACCGTTTGGGCTTCCTATACGAATTCCTGACTTCCCTCCACCTCTAGGCTTTCCCCCATCTCAAGGCCAGATCAGATGCTCCTCACCCGGCCCGCAAAGCCCGTTACCTACTCTAACATGGCATCTACCACCCTGCATTAGAACTGCTTCTTTTGTGCCGATTTGAGAGCTCCAGGTGCACCGAGACCTGCCCTCCGGCCCGCCCCCGGTCCCCAGCGTCCAGCACAGTGCCAGGCATGCAGCGGCTTCAACGAGCGAAGAGGCTCCCGCTCAGGAGCCGAGGACCCTCCATGCCCCCGCCCCTCGACCCTCCCCCGCTCGCCCCGCCCCTCCGGCAGGATACTCCCCGCGGGCCCCGCCCCCTCACCTTCGCATTTGCTGGGGAGTCGAACCCAGTCGGTCTCCTCCGCTTGCGCCTGGCTCGGGCCCAGCTCCGGGGCCGGCAGCAGCTGCAGCAGCAACAGTAACAGGGAGAGAAGCAGAAGACAACGGGGCCCGGGCCGGGGTGCGGGCTCAGCCAACGGCTCCATGGCCCAGCCGGACCCGACCCCAGCGGACCCGGCGGCGCTTCCAACGGCAGCGCGCGCTGTGCAGCTTCGCGGAGCCGCTTCCGGGACTGCGCACGTGCCTCGGCGTAACCAGGGCAACAGGGAGCCCCCCCCTCCCCCCCGCCCTCCGCTCCCGCCGTCGGCCACCTCGGCCCGCCCTCGGAGCCGACGGCCCGCGGACCACGCAGCCAATGGGCTTTCCGGGGCTTGTCCTCCAGCGAATAGGAGGGCGATCGCTTTTCAGCGTCGACCAATGAGAGAGCGGATGGTGTCCTCAGTGACCTATGGCAGCATCTTCCCCACCCCCTAGCGGAGGCTCTGGGAGGGTCTGGAGAACCAGGACACCGAGGCGGGAGCAGCCCGCTAGCCCTGAATGGGAGGAGGCCGGCTCGTGGCTCCTGGAAGAGGTGCAGAAGGCCGTCTTTCTCACCTTCTCCGCCTCTTGGCACGTCACTTCCCTCCTGGGGTCGTAAAGCAGTAAACCCTTAGTGTGCACCTGTTTTTAAATGTTGTTATTATTATCGTTGTTGTTATTGTTGTAATCGCTAATCACCATTTGGTGCTGTAGGTGAGACCTTGTCGACTCAAATAGTCCCCAGGCTTCAAACAACTTTCTTAGTGCCAAGTAATCCTAAATTGGTCCCCTGAGAACTAGAACAAATCACCTCCTCTCTAAGTCTCGTTTGGTTGATTTCTTTCTTTTTTTGGGTTGCTTTTCTGCGTAGTTGTCTGCAGATTACGCTTTTGTCCACAAGGCCCTTTTCCCCAGTGTCTTATGTGTCCTTCCTGGAGGTTGGATATTTATGCTATTTTATGGAAACTTCAAAGGACTGATGCTCAGCCTTTCGACTTGTTATTCCCTAATCTTAGCTTCTTGCTCAAAACAATTGCCCCAATGACAAGGCATTTGGGATATGCAGGGGCTGTGGTATGTAGAATTCTATAGTGCACAGGATCAGGACACCCTTCTGAGGTCCTCCATCTTCTTAGGCTTCATAAGACTTAGGGGAGACTTAGGGCCTGGCCAAAGCCCTTGATTTATCAAGACCCAGGAACCCTCCTGGGAAATACCTTTAAACAGCCACAATAGGGGCTGAGCCTGGGGCAGGGCAGGATTGGGGAATTGGAGCATGAGGAGGAAGGGCATTGAAGCTTAAAGGAAGCTCTGGGGATCCCTGGGTGGCGCAGCAGTTTGGCGCCTGCCTTTGGCCCAGGGCGCGATCCTGGAGACCCGGGATCGAATCCCACGTCGGGCTCCCGGTGCATGGAGCCTGCTTCTCCCTCTGCCTGTGTCTCTGCCCCTCTCTCTCTCTCTCTCTCTGTGTGTGTGTGACTATCATAAATAAATAAAAATTAAAAAAATAAATAAATAAAAATTAAAAAAAAAAAAAAAAAGGGAAGCTCTGCTTCCAGAAGGAAAAAAAAGGACCTCTGAAAGGACATTTACTGAGGTACAAATTAGTTTGGCAGGAGCCCTGGACTCAACATCTGGGCTGAGGGCTGGGAAGGAACAGTGGCTGGAGAAAATCTAAGGTTGTGGCTGGACATGCCCACACCCAACCCAGCCTATCCTTCCCTCAGTCTGTGTGTTGGGGAAGGAGCAGGCCCTGTGGGAATAGTGGACAGATTCATCCCCAGAATCTAAAGAGAAGCAGGAACATCTGACAGAAGGTGAGAGATGAGCAGTGAAGACTGGGGTTTTTCATGGAACAGCAACTGAGAGGCTCAGAGGTGGGGGCAGCCGGCTTTGACATGGACACCATGAGTGGGCAGAATGTTAGAGGATAGTTCCTAACACCACCTTGGGGGAATGAAGACTAAAGCAGCACCGCTGGTCCCACAGACTGTCCTATGCTGCCTGGACTCACATGAAAGCACCAGACTCCTGTAGTAATGACTGGAGAGGAACCCTTGGAAAGGCTGGATCTCCTGCCAGTGCTGGAGAAACAGACCAAACACTCCATTGTGGGGGCCTCACATACTATCAGTGCAAGAACCCTCTTTAGGAAACAAATCAAAAAAATCTTGTTAGTGCCTGGCTCTGCGTTCATGCTCAGTGAATATTTGTTAAGTGAATAATGACCCTTAATTGATTAATAAGGTGTAAGTTTGGAATTAACATCCAGGCTCTTGGCATTGTACATGATCCTGTTACCCTGGGATCCTGGCCCTGTTTATTTCTGCAAGTCTGTACAAAGCTTTACATCAGGCCCAGCACCCCACCTTCCTGGCTTCCTGGGCTCCTCGCCCTGACCTCTCCCAGAGGCTGGGTGAGGGTGAGAAATGGGGGGTGGGAGTGGGGGTGTCTTCCCATGCCCGGCTACGGGAGGAGACAGAAGTAGGACAGTGTCCTCCCTAAGCGCGGCATCACTCTGCAGTTCCTAGAGTCTCACCCTCCGGAAGCCCTCTTCCTCAAGGGAGATTTCCCAGATGGCTTTTTCAAAATCTGCCAAATTTCCTCCTCCCAGGGCAGACATGAATTCAAATATTTCATGTGTGTCATTTAAGTTCTCCTTTAATTAGTCTCAGTTCCCTGGTCCTCAAATGTCCCAGTACCTGTGGACCACCACCCTCCTCCCTCAGAAGCCCTCAATTGGAGGCGGGAGACAGAGCCCAGCCCCAGAAACTTCCAACTGCAGGAGGAGGCAGGTCACAGACAAATACTGCAAGGCTTAAGGAAGGAATACAGGGTGGCTCACGAGCACCAGGCCCAAGCTCGGTGGGTAGAGAGCCTCCCCTCCTCCCAGCCTGGGCTCCGGGGCTCCGGGCCGGCGGGGCTGCGGTGCGCCCCCAACTGCGGCCAGTGCAGGCGGCAGGGGCTGAGGGCGCGCCCGCGGGCGGAGGCTGCGGGAGACAGCGGTGCACCTGCCGGCCCACTGGGGCGCGGGGAGCCCGGGGTCCCCCCCGCGCGGAGGGCAGGCCGCGGAGGCGGCTGCAGGTCAGGAGCACGTCCAACAGTAGCAGCTTGAAGAGCAGTAGGCGCAGCGCCCCAAGCCGCAGCGTCTGGCCCCGAGTCCCTGCGGAGAGAGACTGATGAGCGGTTAGGGGCCTGGAGAAGGTTCTCCCAGGAGGAGGGGTCTTGTCCTCCCGCCTCCCCCTCCCCGCCATTCCTCCTCCCTGCCACCATCCCCGAAGCCCCGGGAAGTCCTCCCTGGCGTCTAGCCTCAGCTCTAACCGTTAATAATAACACACACCTTCCTAGTCTTCATTTTATTTTATTCCCCCCAAACCAGGGCGATGTAGGTCAAGCAGGGATTAGCATCTGACGCAGAGGAGAGTAACCAGCCCCAAGTTCTTTGGGTGGTGAGGAAGCAGAACCCGACTCAGGACTTTCTTTGTCTGGTGGGTGTTGGGACTGTCTACCACTCAGTCTCCGCAGGCTCTGATGCTGAGACCACCCATCTGGGCTGCCCCAGGAAAGCTTCATGGGGCCTTCTGTTAGCTGCCACCTACACTTTTCAGCTGGTGTCCAGAAATTAGTTTGGGGTGGGAGGATCCACTACCATTTCCCCATGGGGAGACTGAAGCACAGGCTTGCCAGTGCCCCAACCCAGCAAGGCAGCCTCTTCAGGGAACACCCACCAACACCCAGCCACCAACCCAACCCTACCCCCACCCCCCCTCCCAAAGAGTGGGACTATCAGGCTAGACCCAAACAGGGCTCAAGATCCTGGTCCCCAGTACTCACCCGTGAGACGCTCCCAGAGGCAAGTCCTGGCTGAGGAAGCCCCTCCTGGCCACCAAGGAGAAGAGAAAAAGTCTTTTGGGATGGGCTCTGCCCTCCACCCAAGCTCTGTGCCCCAGCCCTGACATACAGCAGCTGTTCATGGCAAGTTGCATAAGTGGACAAATGAACCAGCAGCAGGAAACCTGAGCCCATTTGCTACAATTTCTCTCAGGGACTCAGATCTTTCTTCCTCCCCACTGTCCACTGTTCTGTGCCCCAGGGAGGCTGAGGTGCCTCAGCACTTTTAGACGAGGGCTTGATTTTCTTAGCAGCCTTCCTTGAAAGGCAGGGCATCTGTTCAACAAACATTCCCATTTGGAAGATGACAAAACTACCATAATCCAAAAAGAGGAGGTAATTCATCTAGTAATAATCAGAGTTGGCTTTGGACATGTCCCTTAACATCTCTGTGCCTGTAAAATTGGGGAAATGGTATGACCTACTTTATGAATGTACAGTGCTTAGAACAGTGCCTGGCACAGAGTAAACAATAAGAAGATAGCATTTTGTTATTTGATTATTGTTTGGTTCTTCTAGGTAGGGTGTCATACATGGAGTGATAGAGAAAATAACCTAAGGTACATAAACATAGATATCAACCCTAGGTAATAGGAGGAGGTATTTTTACCTCTTGGAAGTCATGCATCAGAGCCTGGATTTGAAGTCTGGATATTTGAAGGAGTTGCAAATCCAGGACTTTGGGCCCCGAGGCCACCCTGCTCTGAGCCTGCCCATCACCTCATTCAGATGGTTGGCATCCCCTCCATGCCCCCATGAGAGCCTACCCCTGTCTCCCACCGTATCCTGTTTCCAGAGCATGTGGGAGGGGCAGGGAGCATCCAGAGGGGCCCAGGCTCCATCCCCACCTGACAGCTGTAGGGGCTGTGTGCTCTGGCTCTGGTCTCCAGCCTCAGGCCCAGTGTGGCAGACCAAGTTTTCCCAGGCTGCCAGCTCCTCGGAGGGCAGAGAGAGCTGAGCCAAGCTAGTCCAGGTGCCGTCAGCCTCTGGGGAAGGGCCGTAGGTGAAGGCATCCAGTGAGCTGCCATTGCCAGCTGAAAACCAGATGGGGCTCTCAAGACCAGGGGGTGCAACATCGAGGACCAGACAGATCACCAGCGTCTGCTGCTTCCCGTCCACCAGCAGCGTGATTGGTGGGGCCAGAGAAGGGAAGGGTGTGCCGCCCACACCTGGAAGAGAGCATGCACCTGTGGGGGGCTAGGTCTGTCTGGGACAGCGTCTCATAATAGTCTTTCTGTCTAGGTTTGCTTCCAGCATCCATCTATCTATCCTTCCACCCACTCATCCATCCCTCTCTCCTTGTATTTGCCCATTGATCCATCTACCCTTCCCCCATCAACCATCTTTCCTACATCTGTTCTTTTTACCTTCCATCTGTATGTCTGTCCATGCTTCCATGCATCCATCCTTCCCTTACTTATCTATTATATCTGAACCTATCTGTGTCAGGAACTGGGGATAAAATACTGATGAAGACATTGCCCCACCCTCAAGGAACTCAGTCCCATGGGAAAGATCACAAACGCATAAACAAATTCTTATAATACCTTGTTGTGCCAGCCTCAGGAGGGTGGTTACCGCTGGGGAGGAAGGGAAGGAAATAAGATCTGGAATGAGATCAAAGAGGGCTTCGAATGTATCTGTAACTTTTTGTTTCTTCTTTCTGATGCAAATATGGCACAATTTAAACCATTTGTTAATCTGAGTGGAATATCCATAGGGGTTTATTACATTGTTAGTTCTTTTCTGTAAGGTCTGTAGTAGTTTTTTTTTTTTTTAAGATTTTATTTTTGGGGCACCTGGGTGGTTCAGTTGTTTAAGTGTCTGCCTTCAGCTCTCAGGTCATGATCCCAGCCCCAGTTGGCAACGGGCTCCCTTCTCAGTGGGGAGTCTGCTTCTCCCTCTCTCTCTGCTGCTCCCCTACTTGTGCTGTTTCTCTCTCTCTGTCAAATAAATAAATAAATAAATAAATAAATAAATAAATAAATAAAATCTTTAAAAAAACATTTTTTTAAGAAAGTAATCTCTACACTCAGTGTGGGGCTCCAGTTCACAACCTGGAGACCAAGAGTCCCATGCTGTACTAACTAGGCCAGCCAGACACCCCTAAAGTATTTTAAAAAGAGCTTTGTTCAGATATAACTTATATACTATACAATTCACTCATTTCAAGTATATGTCTGTATTATTTAATAGCTTAAAAATGTTATTATTTTAAATATTTTATTTATTTGAGAGAGAGCATGGAGCAGGAGGGAGAGAGAGAAGCAGACTCCCCACTGATCAAGGAGCCCAATGTGGGGCTTGATCCGAGGGCCTGGGGATCATGACCTGAGCAGAAGGCAGATGCCCAACAGACTAAGCCACCCAGGTGCCCCTCATAGTTAAAAAATAAAAAATCATATGGGTACCACAAACATCTGTCCTGTATTTTCCAGAATAGTCCTGATTTTCCACAGGCTTATTCTTTTCAGTAAAGATGACAAAATATATAATGACCAAAATGTTACTCTTGAATAGTTGGGGTTTTTTTTTTATGTTTTTAATTTATTTTTTTAAATTTTCTAAAATTTTATTTATTTTACTTTTTTAAAAAAGATTTATTTATTTATTCATCAGAGACAGAGAGAGAGAGAGACAGAGAGAGAGAGAGAGAGAGAGGCAGAGACATAGGCAGAGGGAGAAGCAGACTCCCCTCAGGGAGCCCAATGTTGGACTCATCCTGGATCCTGGGATCACGCCCCAAGCCAAAGGCAGATGCCCAACCGCTGAGCCACCCAGGTGTCCCTATTTTTTACATTTTTTAAAAATTTAAATTCAGTTGCCAACATATAGTATAACACTCAGTGCTTATCCCATCAAGTGTCCTCCTCAGTGCTTGTCACCTAGTTACCCCATCCTAGTTGGATATTTTTTAAATAATAATAAAATCTCAAAGATTAAAACCCACAGACAGGGTTGCCCTGGTGGCATAGGTGGTTAAGTGTCCTACTCAGTTTCAGCTCAGGTCATGAGATCGAGCCCCAGAATGGCTCTGCGCTGATCCTGGAATTCACCTGAGATTCTCTCTCCTTCTCCCTCTGACCCTCCCCCCATTCTTTCAAATAAATAAACAAAATATTAAAAAAAGAAAATCCATAGTTAAACCTTGAGTTAAATGCAGCCAGGTTAAAGAAATACCCCAAGGGGACACCTGGGTGACTCAGTGGGTTAAGCATCTGCCTTCTGCTCAGGTCATGATCCCAGGGTCCTGGGGTCCAGTCCCCACATCAGGCTCCCTGCTTAGCGGGAGTTTGCTTCTCTCTCTCCCTCTGCCTGCCACTCTCCCTGCTTGTGCTCTCTCTCTCTCAAATAAATAAATAAAATTAAAAAGAAAAGAAATACCCCAGGGTGCAGGAAAGGACACCAGAGAATATTGTGGGGAGGTCAGAGTTGGGGGGTGGTGCTCAGGAAGGTTTCTTAAAGGTCAAAGAACAGACCTAAAAGCATGTGGATGGTAAGTACCCAACTCAGGATTTGAACTCAGGTCTCTTTGACCCTCATTCCCACAGAACACCCCACTTGGAAGGATGACTAAGAGTTTGCTACAATGACACAATGGATCAAGCCTGGGACATGGCCTCAAACAGAGTTGGTTTGACTCCTGACTTGTCTGCTCACTTTACTGATTCTCAATTGCTACGTCAATATAATGAGGTTAATGACACCAGCCCAGTAAAATTGTTGTGAAGACTAAATATCATGAATGTCAAACACCTTGGCAGAAAAGTTTAGTATTATCATCTTTTTTTAAAAAAAGATTTTATTTATTTATTCATGGGAGATGCAGAAAGAGAAGGGCAGAGACACAGGTAGAGAGAGAAGCAGGCTCCATGCAGGGAGCCAGATGTGTGAGACTCGATCCCAGGACTCCAGGATCATGCCCTGAGCCAAAAGCAGACGCTCAACCACTGAGCCACCCAGGCGTCCCTAGTATTATTATCAATAGTAATATTAATAAGATATGGGAAACAAAGGAACTCGAGAAAGCTGAGAGTGAGCTCCAGGACCCTCGACCTCCTGAGCCTCTTCAGTTGTACAGATAGTTACTCCCCAGGTTGAGGTTAGCATATACCTCCTCCATGAAGCTGCCCAGGATTGCTCCTCCTCACCCTGGCTGCTTCCTTCTCAGAGCTCAGACCTCCTGCCATGGGCTTTCTTTGTTCCACATGGATATGATTTATCTCCCTAGCAAGGGAGAGCTTGTGGAAATGCTGGGGGCCAGCTTTATTTTTATTTATTTTTAAAGATTTGTTTGACAGAGCACAAGCAGAGGGAGTGGCAGGAAGAGGGAGAAGCAGGCTCCCCACTGAGCAGAGAGCCTAAAGGAAAGCTCCATCCTAGGATCATGACCTGAGCCAAAGGCAGATGCTGAACTGAGCCAACCACATGCCCCTGGGGGCCAGCTTTAGATCAAGAAGATGACCTTTCCCCACCACATACATGCAAACATGCACATGCTTCTCGATTAAGCTGGAATTCTTTCCTTTAAACACAAGTCCTGGGCAGCCCGGGTGGCTCAGCGGTTTGGCACCTGCCTTTGGCCTGGGGCGTGATCCCGGTAGACCTGGGATAGAGTCCTACGTCGGGCTCCCTGCATGGAACCTGCTTCTCTCTCTCTCTCTCTCTCTCTCTCTCTCCACGTCCCAGCCCTGGCTACCCCATCTCCACCCTCCCTGGATGCCTGGTGAGTTTGCTCTGGATTCTCTGCACCTCCAAAATGTGACTGCCACACTGCAGACTCCAGGGAGCAAGACTCAAGGCCCCCGAGTGAGATAGCTGGAAGGCAGAACACAGTGGGGAAGGGAATGGTGGGTTTATGGTAAGACCCTCCTCTCCAGGGCCCCCAAACAGCCCTGTCATGCCTTCTCGTATCCCACCCCATGAGGACCGGAGCTAGGGAGCAGGCTCAGGCAAGCTAATGGGGCACCGAGAGGGATGCCGGGAGGGGACTCACCCGTGGGCAGGGCTGGACACCCGAGGGCCGGGAGAAGCAGCAGCAGCCAAGTCCTGGCCATGGCCCTCCTGAGAGGAGGCAGGACCCAGCTGCAGACCTGAGCTGTGGGCTGTGAGAGGAGGCACCCGCAAGACTGCCTCCCAGGCCGCAGGCCCAGATGCTCCTCAGCTGCTCGGCCACCAAGTGGTTTCCTCCTGGTGAGGAGCCTCCCCCACCTGCACCCGGGCCCCCTAAGCCCAGTCCTCTCCCAGGGGCCAGTGAAGCCAAGGTGCCACTCCCACCCCTTACTCCCTCCTATCTGAAGAGCACTTTGCGGTCTGCAAAACCTTTTCCCAGTCACTGGCTCTGGCATCTACGGGATGCAGAGCCCCAGGCAGTATTTAAGGATTTACATTCAGCCTGTCCTTCCACCACCCAGCTGCTGTGAGCTCCATTTCACAGGTGAAGCCACTGAGGCTGAGAGAGATTGAGTGACCTGCTCCAGGCCGCACAGCGGCAGGGGTGGAGAGTCGGGGGCGGGGCGGTCAGGGCTTGACCTATTTCCTGATGGGGGGCCTTACTGTAGCCAAGAAGCCCAACATGCTTCTTTCCATGTTGTTACAGCACCTCACCCACCCACCCGCACACACCCACATTTAAAAATAGAATTTATTTATTTTTTAAATTTTATTTATTTATTCATGAGAGACACAGAGGCAGAGACACAGGCAGAGGGAGAAGCAGGCTCCACGCAGGGAGCTTGACGCGGGACTCTATCCTGCGTCTCCAGGATCACGCCCTGGGCTGAAGGCGGCTAAACCGCTGAGCCACCTGGGCGGCCCAAAAAATAGAATTTATTTCTTAGAGCAGTTTCAGGTTTACATCAAAATTTAGGGGATGTTTCGGAGATTTCCCATGTATTCCCTTCCCCTTTCCTTGAACCCATTTTATTTTTTATTTTCAAAAGATTTTATTTATTTACAAGACACAGGCTCCCTGTGGGGGGTCCAATCCGGAACTGGATCCTAGGACCCTGGGATCATGACCTGAGCTGAAGGCAAATGCTTAACCGCTGAGTCACCCAGGTGTCCCTGACTCCCTTTTAAAAATAAAATCTTGGGCAGCCCGGGTGGCTCAGCGGTTTAGCGCCGCCTTCCGCCCAGGGTGTGGTCCTGGAGACCCGGATCGAGTCCCACGCTGGGCTCCCTGCACGGAGCCTGCTTCTGTCTCTGCCTCTCTCTCTGTCTCTGTGTTTCTCCTGAATAAATAAATTAAAAATAAAAATAAACGCTTTAAAAAAAAAAAGGATGCGTGGGTGGCTCAGTGGTTGAGCGTCTGCATTTGGCCCAGGTCATGATCCTGGAGTCCTGGGATTTCCCTGCATGGAGCCTGCTTCTCTCCCTCTGCCTATGTCTCTGCTTCTCTATCTCTGTGTCTCTCATGAATAAATTGTTTATTTATTTATTTTTATTTATTTATTTATTTTTTATTTACGATAGTCATACAGAGAGAGAGAGAGAGGCAGAGACACAGGCAGAGGGAGAAGCAGGCTCCATGCACCGGGAGCCCGACGTGGGATTCGATCCCAGGTCTCCAGGATCACGCCCTGGGCCAAAGGCAGGCGCCAAACCGCTGCGCCACCCAGGGATCCCCTCATGAATAAATTTTTTAAAAAGTCTTTAAAAAAAACCCTGAATTATTTGTTTAAAAAAATAACATCTTAAAAAAATACATACATACATACATACATACATACATATATACATACTCTTTAGGGGCATCTGGCTGGCTCAGTTTGTAGACCATGAGATCCTGATCCTGGGGTATAAGTTCAAGCCCCATATTGGGTGTAGAGATTACTTAAAATGAACTCTTAGAAAAGAAACAAACAAACAAAAAAACGCTCCAAAACCAACGTCTTTATAAATGCCACTTTCAGTGACACTAAAACTAAATTTTAGTTTAGTTAGCTAAATGGCTGTCATTTTGACCCTGAAACTTCACATCTAGGTATATGCCCTAATGAAATGAGACAAAGATTTATGCACAAAAATGTTCTTTGAAGTATTATATTCCAAAAGCAAGAGAAACAATGCTGGGGGAAGGACTAAAGGAATTCATATTTAACTATATTAGTGAATCTTATGAAGCACCTTTTAAAATCATGTTTTCAGGGGCACCTGGGTGGCTTAGGCAGGTTAAGCACCTGCCTTTGGCTCAGGTCATGATCATGGGGTCCTGGGATGGAGCCCTTTGGGCTCCCTGCTCAGTGGGGAGCCTGCTTCTCCCTCTAGCTCTGCCCCTCCCCCTCCCCCTCCCTCTCCCTCTGCTCTTGCTCTGTCTCTCGTTTTCTCTCTCAAATAAATAAAATCTTTAAAATCATGTTTTCAGAGAATGTTTAATGACATGGGATATAGGACAGTTTGGTTCAGAGTGGGGACTGTAAAGCCAGAACACCTGGCTTTCCATTCATCATTCAGTAGTTGTGTGATTTTCTCCCAAATCATTTACTTCCCTAATCCTGACTTTCCTCATCTGTACAATGGGAGTAATAATACTTCAAAGGAATCCTGTGATATTTAGACAAGATAATCCGTGAGAGGCTTAGTGCCAATCTTTTACATAAGAAGTAAGTCAGGGATCCCTGGGTGGCGCAGCGGTTTGGCGCCTGCCTTTGGCCCAGGGCGCGATCCTGGAGACCTGGGATCAAGTCCCACGTCGGGCTCCCGGTGCATGGAGCTTGCTTCTCCCTCTGCTTGTGTCTCTGCCTCTCTCTCTCTGTGTGTGACTATCATAAAAAAATTATAAAAAAAAAGTAAGTCAATGTTCTTTTTCTCTCTATATATATGAATATACATGTGTATATATATATATATTCTGTTACATACAACAGAGTTCAAATAAACAGGACACAAATCTTGTTTTGTTTTTTTTTAAAGACTTTATTTATTTATTCATGAGAGACATAGAGAGAGAGGCAGAGACACAGGCAGAGGGGGAAGCCGGTGTGGGGCTCGATCCTGGGCAGGATCAGGCCCTCGGCTAAAGGCGTCGCTAAACCTCTAAGCCACCAGGGCTGCCCCCAAATCTTGTTTTTTTTTTTATTATTATTTATTTATTTATGATAGTCACAGAGAGAGAGAGAGAGGCAGAGGGAGAAGCAGGCTCCATGCACCGGGAGCCCGACGTGGGATTCGATCCCGGGTCTCCAGGATCGCACCCTGGGCCAAAGGCAGGCGCCAAACCGCTGCGCCACCCAGAGATCCCCTAAATCTTGTTTTAAAAATGATTTTATTTAATACGCCTGGGTGGCTCAGCGGTTGAGCATCTGCCTTCAGCTTGGGGCATGATCCTGGGATCTGGGATCAAGTCCCACGATCAAGTCCCACATCGAGATCCCTGCGGGGGCCCTGCTTCTCCCTCTGTCGGTATCTCTGCCTCTCTCTCTCTCTTTGTGTCTCTCATGAATAAATAAATAATTAAATCTTTAAAAAAATGATTTTATTTATTTGACATAGAGAGTGCACACGTAGAGCAAGAGGGAGAGCCACCCCGGTGCCTGAAAGCAGACCAAATATTAAGGGTTTTTTTTTGTTTTGTTTTGTTTTGTTTTTAATTTGAGAGACAGCAGGAGCAGAGTGGAGGGACAGAGGGAGAGAGAGAAACAGGTACCCCTTGGGTCAGGGAGCCCGATGTGGAGCTCCATCCCAGCATCTCAGGATCATAACCAGGCCAAAGGCAGACGCTTAACTGACTGAGCCATCGGGTGCCCCCCACCTTTTTTTTTCATTTGTGGTAAAGTACACTTAATATAAACTTTACCATCCGAACCATTTTTAAGTGTACAGCTTGGTGGTAGTAAGTGCATTCACATTGTTGTGTGAACATCACCACCATCCATCTCTAGAATTATTTTCATCTTGCAAAACTGAAACTCTGTCCCCATTAGACACTAACTCTCCATTCTGTCTCCACCCCCCAGCCTGTGGCAACCACCATTCTGTTTGCTGTCTTTATGAGAGAAACATACAGAATTTGTCTTTTTGTGCCTAGTTTATTTCACTTAGCATAATGTCATCAATTATGTTGTGGTGTTAGAATTTCTGTCCTTTTTAGAGTTGAATATTCCATTGTATGTATATACTACATTTTGCTTTTTTTTTTAACATTCTTAGTTTATTAATCCTCTCATGAAAAATCTTGCACAATCACCACAGATAAAGCCACTGCAGAATCTTTACTCCTTCTGTTGTCCAATCTCCAGCTCACTTTTTTGCCAGCACCAATATTGGCTTTTGCAGTCCCCCTGACTTTCTTCATTCTGTTTTTGCATTCCTTGTGCTGTTTTCCTGACATCTTTTTTTTCTCATATAGGCCGTGTCTTGCAAGTCTATGTTTGGGTTCATTTTTCTTTGTGTAATCCAAGGAATCATAAATCATGCCAAAGCCAGTTGTCTTGCCACCACCAGAATGGGTTCTGAATCTAAATACAAATATGACATCTGGTGTGGTCTTGTACATTTTGGCTAGTTTTTCCCGAATTTCTGTCTTAGGTACTGTTGCCTTCCCAGGGTGAAGAACATCAATGACCATCTGTTTCCACTGAAGTAGTCAGTTGGTCATGAACTTCCTGGTGGATAGTTACTGTGTCATTCATGATGGCAGCCGAGCTTCAAGCAGCTGGGGAGGAAAAGAGACCCCTCATTTTGCTTCTTAGCCAGTATCTCTCAATGGACATTTCTCAATGTTTGCTTCCATGTTTTAGTATTATTGATAAGGCTGTTATGAACATGGGTGTATAAATATTTCTTCAAGACCCTGCTTCAATTATTTTTGTATATGTATCCAGAAGTAGAATTGCTAGATCATATGGTAACTGTTTTCAATTTTTTTTAAAGATTTAATCTATTTATTCGTGAGAGACACACAGAGAGAAGCAGAGAGAGACAGAGGCAGAGGGAGAAGTAGGCGCTTCACAGGGAGCCAGATGCGGGACTCCATCCCTGGACCCAGGATCACACCTTGAGCTGAAGGCAGATGCTTAACTGCTGAGCCACCCAGGCATCTCTGTTTTTAATTTTT